TTTCTCCTCTTCTACCAGGGTGCGAATATCCAAGCACCAGGAAGTAAGAAGCCAGACACTCCCTACGGTGTCATAACTTATATGTTGAAGGCGTAAGGCTTTTACACTTACCCTGAAGCCAACTCCTACATTCTGTATACTGCCCACCGGGGGCCACTGAGAACTGGCACTCCACCCGTCACAATCACTTTAACAACACTTTTGGTTTACCACATCACACGCTTCGGAGAAATTCACCTAGAACAGTTTCTGTCCCACTTTAGTCAAAGAGCATTTCGATTACTGCAAAAATACAACAGTCCAGTGCGTAAGAGCAAAAGATGCCAAGGATCTGGCTGAACGCTAAAAGTCACCCCTCCTCACAAAGCGTGCCCTGCTGAACAGGCGCCCAGCGATACCTGGTGAAATTTAAGGAGGGGACGCAAGGACTCTACAGACCTCGTAGTCGGTAATGTGAAAACCCAGGGAAGCTCCAACTGTAACACTGTAAGTAACCCCTAGACCTTTGTCAAAGTTTGAATGAAACATCTGTTTTCCTCTGGTAGTTAAGACCTACAATTGAAATTAAATTCGTCCACCGTCACAATCTCAAACTTCCGCGTGTTGAGAGGATGCAGGTTCTCAGTTGTTTTCTTCGGGATTTCGGATAAGGCCCTCTGGAGAGTAAAGAGGTCCACTGCCTGTTGTACTTCCCTCCAACTCCTCAGATCACTAAGTTGTAATGGTGGATGGGAATCAAGTGTTGCTACTAAGTGGCTTATGGGGCCAGAAACAGCGCGGTATCGAAAATGGGGCTCCGAAGCGACCCACTGAGAATCCATTAAGCCAAGATAAATCAACTCCAAGCGGTTGCAGACGATTGCAGAAGTATTCCCTGGGCCAACTAGTTCGCTCTCTGAATCCATCCGGTAGATCAAGTCGCTGACATAGAATATCAGCAAAGATGTTGAAGGCATTTCGGGAGTCAAATACTCCAATATGAATGGGCTTCAGCTATTCAACGGTATCAGCGATTTGGTGTCACACACTCGCAAGTCAAAACTTGAATCGCTGGTCAGTGGAAATTGAGTTTCCCAGGAGGCAGTTACAAAACTAGTCGTATGTATTACACTTTCTATAACCACTGAGGTTGAAGAGACCTCCTTGCCCCCATGATCTACTCCTTTAATTTACGTTGAGCCCCCGAAAAGAATTTTCTTTTCTTTTATATCTTTAGGAAATGCTTCATAGGTAGCCTCTACGCCAGGGCCGTCCTACCCGATCACTACCTACATGTCAGGTAACTTGGAGCGCGAACTACACACAACCGTAGATACTGTAAATGAGAGTAGGATGTCCCAGAGTACCAGCAGTAGGCTGAGTCAGTGATACTACTTAGATGGTATTTTAGGGACAACTTATGTAAGCTTCATGGCAATGAGGAAGCAGGACCGTCCCCAAATGGGCCACTGGATTTATTTGCCACGTCTCTGAAGTCCTTTTGATAACGGATTTTATGGTGCAACCCAACGGTTTCCGTGGTTGGTGAGTGAGTCAGCCCCAGCAGATGGTAGTGCAGCGCATCCGAAGCACGTCATGCGCTCTTCTGTAGCCTTGCTTTGTGAGTTACGACCACAATAGACCCACTGCTTAGATGATCCTAGCCAGCCTTCTGGGCTCCCCGAGGCACAGCTGTGGAACTAAATTGGTCGTGACTGATGCCTATGTGAATGCTGTAGGACCGAAATTATGTAACAGGTAGGTCAGCCTATCCGTAGTTCACGAAAAGGCGCATTAAGTGGACTTTAAGTTGAACACCCGGTCGCTGCTTTTGCGGTGAAACCATGGGATCCTGGGGGCTTCGGCGCCTGACAACCATTAGTTTACTGTAGTCTCAAGGTTATAAGTTAAAATGACTCATAAATCATTGTACAGGGGGACCCCGGTGGGGGTAAGCTATTTTTCGAAGAATCACGCATTTCGTTTCCAGTGGCGCCCAAATAGCCTACTTTTTGGGACGTTTATTGATGACAATGCGTTAGACCATCCCGTTCATGTGCTTGTGGACCCATCAGGTCGCCATCACCACACATTTTAAGCTGAGACATCAGAGATTTTTAGAAAAACAGCTCATCGCCGCACGTGGTCTTCTTGTACAACGATTCAGAAGTCATTGTGATTTGGGACCTTACGACCGCGGCAGACTACTGAGTGTCAGGCGCCGTGCTTCAGACACACCACATCACCGTTTGCTGGGGCTGACTCGCATATCCGCCATCCCACAACGGAATCCTTTTATTTGCGAAATTCAGTCTGTGTACTTCGCTACGAACAAGCAAGAAACTGGGCCTTGAGTTTACTGAATTCCGTAGGCATTGGTATGGGACCCTGACCCGCTATCCCTATATCTTACGCCGTCCATTCACTGATCAGAAACCTGTTAAGTGATGAACAGCACCTTAAATGTCATCGGCCACTCAACTACACATTGGCTAGGTAATCTTTACCGGTAACGTTTGAAAGAATGTGCAGAAATCCGGGTGGGAGTGTGCTTTTCAGGTGCCTTTGTCCCTGAGTGGTTGCCGAGTAACGAAATAATATCACTGTTGCTCTGCAAACACATGTTCATAGCCTGCTTTATGCTTTGGGTTATCTTACGAGTGTTTTGTACTGTCACTTGGTCTCTCGCTTTGATCGAGTAAGTGGACTCGTTCATAGGGACCAGTGAATGCGTAAAATTCTTGTTCTCCTCCATTACACACCTACATGAGAGTGAAAGGAATTTTCGGGAATGAAAGATGGTCATAATTATGGAAAGAATGATAGGCGACCATAACGAGGAATATCCGGACATAACGGGAGCACTTAGAGACGTTCAAAGCAGCTTCCGAAAGTGAGGGCCCTGTGCCTCCAACCTACCGATAGCCATTGACTACTGAACAGATCCTGGGGCCCTAAAGTCTAGCCAACGTGATTTTCCTGGATTTAACACAGTCCTGAACACCATCTCCATGCAAAATACCTCAGAACGCTTGAGGGGACGAAAAATATTTAATTGGTATCTAACCTAGAAGAATGCTGATTCATACCTTTCCCTGCCCGTGATGCACAGAAAGTATCCCACCCTCTCTGTGGTTCACGTCTTTCCCCAACCGTATCAAAGAAAAACCTGCGTTTAGCGGTGGCTGAGATACTGAGCACCAGTTCCAGTTGCACAGGAGACGCCTAAAAGGGACGCGGTGTACTGCAATTTGTGCTCAGGAAACTAGTTACCCTCACTCCGGAGCTCTTCTCGAAACTCTACAAGGCCTACATGTAACCACACCCGGAGGTCGATACCGTCTTCGCCCCATCACACCCGAAAAGAGGCACGAACCTCCTGGAGGAAGTCCAGGGGGAGGCAAAAAAAGGTGTCGCAGGGATGCATCAAAAACAGCGCAAGGACAGATAAAAAGAGATAGCCCTATACTCTCTTGATCACAGAAGGTTTACGAGTTGATTTGGTAATGGCTTACAAAATGCCAAATGACCCTCGAACAGAGATGTGCCACCGAGTAGCCACATCGGTAACCCTCGCGGAAACCCTAAGAGAATATCCCACCAAAAGTCAAGAACTCGGGTGGGTTCACACTTCTCCCTTCTAGTCTGCGGGCGCTGGAAAGCACTACCAGCGGAGGTAATGGCCCGTCCGCCCCATCTTTGGAAAGTTTCAATAAAAGGCTAAATAGTTGTGCAGTGATCCACGGTTTAAGCCCACCCACTTGAAATACCAACTAGACCGAATAAATTGACTGCTGCTACTGCATTCTAACATTGTTAACTCTACGCCCCTTCTCTTTCTGCTCTAACCACTTAAGTCCTTTTCATCTCCCTCATCCGCTATGAATATACCACACACACCAAAGTTCTACATATCTTTACACCCCTCTCGTTTTACTAAGGTGCAGATAGATTAATCCATCAATTCTCTTTTACTTTTCATCTGTTCACACACATTTTTCTTTCTAGGTTGTCTCTTCACTATCCCCAACCCTCTCCTACGATCAGTCCGAACAACTGTTCGACAACTCCATATCTGGAGGACCTGAATGCATCACAGTCCCAGAAAAACCAACCAACACTCAGCCACCTGTTTTGTATGCCGAGGATATGGTTGAAAAGTGGTTGGATCTACTGCGTCAGGACCCACCGAAGACCTGGAAATGTTCTACAAAACGGGAAGAGAGCAAGAAGAAATCGACTGGTTTACACAACCTCGTTAGACAGATAATGGATACTGGGCATTAAAAACTATCCACTTACTGAACTACCCATAAAAATGTTAATTTATGTGGCTTTCTGGTGGATCCTTTATTAGCATTGCAGCAATTGTTTTAATTTGTCACTTAAATTATTTAGGTGACTGATACTTACAAGTGCCTTTTTCAATCAGCTTTCATGTCATCGTCAGGTATGTCTTTAGATCCATTTACATTGGCGATTGGTCTTACTTCCTTATTTTCATCTGCCTAACTACAACTTCATGTTATTTGTTTTCAAGCGAAAAGCATATTTAATGCTCGTATTCTCAATACTTTGAAGTTTTAATCTGTTGAGCATGAACTGCAAGATGTTTTAGACTGTTGAATTTTTCATGGTCAAATTTAGAAGGAGAAAAATGAGCGATCACTTGTGTTTCCTTATAAGATTTTACTATAAAGTAAATAATTCTTCTGGTTTATGGAACTAGTCATAGTAAATTCTTTAGTTCATGCTAGTAAAGCAATGAAGTGTGCATTTAGTAAATATGCCAATAATAATCATTGATGTTACAATGTGTTATATTTGTCATTGTTACCCAGTACATGGAGAAACTGTCCACATAATGGCAAAGTTCAACCTATTTTTGCAAACTGTTAACCAAATTCTTGATTCAATTAGTTGCTTTTTACTGAAAACAATTTTTTGTTTCATTGTTAAGTGTGGCATTTCGCAGTAATGTATTCATGCATTACTTACACGAGTTCATCATGTCATTTTTACATTGTTATTAGTTCCGAAACATCTCCAAAGAAACGGAGTTTTCACTGATTGCCCTTTAGATTAGACAGTACTTCTTTGGAAATCTGAATACTATTTATTTATGACGGTTGCAAGTTTTTATTTTTAAATCCATCCTGAAAGATGTAATGCTATGACATAGTGACATTTAAATGTCAGTAAACCTGTTACTTAATGTAAGCCTGCAGGTGAGTTTCAACTTTTCTAGTCAGGATGGAAAACTGACAGTAGTACTATTCACTAGTACGACCGCCCTCAAATATATTGATTTGCATCAGCATCACTCTAATCATTGCCTCATGTTTATTTAATTGATGTCAATCAAATAAAAATAAATATTTAGATAGCTGAAAATACTCGGGAAGGTTGGGTTTAATTTTTGGAACACGTTTATGATATTTTGCTCTATATGTGATTAAAATATGAACTATGTAAATGCAGCCGATAAACCAAAAAATAGGCTCGAGATAGTTGCAGGCTATTTGTGGATTCATACATGTTGTAAACAACCCTAAAAGACTGTTAGTACCTACTTGCATATTAGCACATCATTTAGGTTAAATTTAGATATTTTAATATTTTTCGCTTTACTTCTGACCCTATGGTGCTTTTGTGCCAACACAGTTCTCTATCAGCTAGTTGTTCCCAAAATGGTTGATGGAACAGTAGAAACCTTCCATCCTAGGCGCCGACTGTGGGGCAAACGTGCAAAACCTTTCCATGATGTCGATAGCTTGAATAACATTTTGGTCTCCAAAGCTAGTGAAACTATGCAAGCGAGCTAGAAAATGAAACTGAACCTCTTGTTTGCTTACTCGTGGTTTGTATTTGTGATGGATATTCAGTTGGCCAAAACGAAATATTGTTAACCAAAACTGCAGACTCAAAAAAACCACATCCAAAAATGTATCGCTTTTGCATTTATTAGAAACAGCAGCGATTAGTAACGCAGCACCTAAGTTTTGCCATTCATAAATAGTTGCTCTTGCTATTAGTATTTAGATATTCATGTATATCGTACACAAGTGTGCAAGGTACAGGCTAGTCAGGCATAAGCCTATGTAAATGAACCAGTTCATTCATTTTCAAACTGGAATTGAAAAAAACAAGTAAAGACTTTTGTGTCGTAGAATCTCGACAAACACTTCAGCACTAAATCGTTAGTATTTTGGTACTTCTGTTATCTCTGCTTCTGGGCTAAAAATCACTTAATTTAGATCTGACTCCAAGTTTAAAAATCGAGTTATGGACATGAATGACTGACTTTAAATCAGGTTCAGACTTGTATTCCGAGTATAGAAGGCTATGAGACTACATCAGGTTTTTTTAGTAGATCTCTGCACTCGTCTGGTCCTCTTTTTAACCAACCAATCGATGATGCGAACACAAGTTCTTCTGAGAGTTGGTTCCTGACCGACTGAAAAAATTAGTGTAGAACCTCACACACAGGTGTGTCAGATGAAGTTGCCACAATCCCTGTTGTACGCAAAGAACAAGTGGGTGGAAAAGGTGATACCAAGGTAGATAAATTAGTGTGAGAGAATAAATAATTTGAAGATGAAGGTTGGTGCGAAGATTCAAGCTTCAGTAGATGTGTCAAGGGTTGAATTCATCTTTGTAACTGACTTGTCCCAAAGTATCCTCAACTACCGATCCTTTTCATCCAGGGGACCCTAGCCGGAATGTTTGCATTTTTCCACATGGCTCAGACCAGTAGTCGAGGACTTCATGGATTGGTGCCGCCCTGAACCCCTTTCCTACCTAATACACCTTTCGCATGGGCGATGGCTCGGTATGCGCAGTACTTGTCCAAACCATCTCAGTTGATGATGGTTCACAACCTCATCAACCGAATCGGAGTTGCTTTCAGGGGCTGATCACTAACCATAGAAACCAGTACTCTAAGGAGACTACGTTTACCCGTTGCTTTTGTATTCTTACTCTTAAGTTCTACCTGGTGAGTAGAAAAAGAAAAAATAGGTCAGGTCCAAAGTAAATTCATAAAATCCTGTACGGCATGGTTTGATCCCCCCTCTATCCGCAATGAGATGAGGGGAAGAGGTTGAGCATTTTAGTCGTCCTTCATAAGTTGAGCTAGCCTCTATAGGAACTATGTGAGTGGCTGCCCTCTGCACTTTTTCCAGAAAGTCTGAGCCACTTTTCGAACTAAGATTTGCCACTTGTGCATAGCCCTTCAGCTTAAACCTGAATAAGGATATGCACAAGGTGGTGAACATATCTATACTTATTTTTGCAAATGTTCTGCATAGTACTTACAGTGGGCTGAAATTCCGGTCTGCAACCAATTGGCAGTGCGCTATGGTCTTCAGGTCATAACTTACTGTGATTCCTGGGTCATTGTGGGTCACTCGTGCGGGTAGAGGAGTCACACAGGTATTATAGCCGTCGCAGTTATGCTTGCCAATAGACACACTTACACACTTGGCTGTTTTTCGGCATCAACAGTTCCTCGGACGAGATAACAAACTGCTCAGGTCCATTTGAAGTGTACGTAAACCCTTGTCATCCTTAGTTTCTCACCAGATTTCTAGATCACCAGCGCAGAGAACCATGGAATATTTCTTGATATTCGGCAGTTTATTAGCGCACAGAAGAAATGGCAGGTGACCCAGGACTTTGCCTTGCAGCACTCCACTCTGCACCAACATCCAAGAGGAGGGTTGAAAATTGAGCCTTAAACTTCATCATCTTTTGTGTGGTATTTAAAGAGTAAAGAACAGTCGCTCAGTATTTATTTATGTGACATTACTACTAAGCTAAAGTAGAGACATACTTTTATTAACATCAGTGTTTGAAGGGACCGCTACAGTTAACAATTGTGAGAAATATTTGAAGTGTAATTAGTAAAACTTTAAACAGAGTAGTAATATCGAAAAGTAGAGTAATATATGTCAGTCAAATTCGACAGCAGCATCTTTCTAATTGACTATGGGGTCTCTCTGAGCTGATGACACTTTACAGCCATCTATGTTCGATGGTTTTTGTCTTTTTAAGGTCGCTTGCTTCTGTTTGCAATGGAATGAAGCTTGGTCGTGCATTTAGCAGTGTGCTTGGTTATTTAAGTAGCCATTATTTAGTGATCAAAGTCATCTTAGAACATAGAGTTTAGTGACTCGACCGTGTTACTCATGCCTACCTAAAATCTGCTACAATGTAATGGTGATTTGGTGTGATGTTGTGAAGTGAAGAATAGTTGCTCTCGTCTAGAACCTATTAATGTATGTCGAGTTATTAGTTAAGTGCCAGAGATTATACTACTCATGAGCTCAAGATATTAACAAATACAGCTCATATTCGAAACCATTAACAATCATGCTGTTGATTTTATGTCTTGTACTACAGAAAAAATAATTTAACACTACTGGAAACTTCTTCAGTATATTTTAAGACAACTTGTAAGTTTCTGATTATCATTTTGATCCTAATCCCCACCTTTCCTTTTTATGAAGTCAGAATGTTATTTCACTGTTATATGTAGTATTTCTTCATGTATATGATGTGCCGAGTTGATGTTTTCAAATAAATAAAAAGCGATACATTTTATAGGTCATAAAAGTTCATAATATGAACTTGCATGACACTGATTAGTTGGATGACTTTTTACTTAATATGATCTTGAAAACAAGATAACACATGATATCACTTCTTTGTTGTAAAACCTTGACTTAATGAATCATGAAAATAGTGAAATAATTTACACCTGAGACAATTTCAAAATAAATTTTATACATTGTGAATAACTGAAATATTTCAGTATGATTAATGAAACATTAACTAAACAGATTTGATATTTTGATACTGAAACAGGAATTATAAAATGTCAAAATTAGAATCAAGTGGATTTTCTGTGATCCTCTACAAAAGACGATGGTTCGCATTGTTCATTTTTTGTTTTTGTTCATTCGCAAATGCTTATCAATGGATTCATCTTAATATAATTTCTGATCGAGTTTTATTTTTCTGGAACGCCTCTATTCCGGGTAAGTCACTGATGTGACTGTGATTAATTCATACTGTTATGTTTTAACTAAATAATAAAAATTGTTTTATCTAACAATCTAATCACTATTCAAAGTGGTGAGTATCACACCACTGCATTTCAACAAACATGAAAGTATTTGATGTCTATTATACAAGTGAATTACAAACGTATGAGAAGTGAACAATGATAGATGCAAGAATGGGAGACACTATAAAAATAATGATAATAATAATAATAATAACAATCGCTTTATTCAAGACAGTATGTATGACAGTAGAGAATTCTCAGCATGTAATTTTTCAACAAATCAATATTATGAAAGAGTTAGCTGGTCCTGGATGGGCATCTGATCCATAATGAACAATAATTGAGAAATGCAACTGTAATTTTGGTGGCGGCAGTTCATTCAGACAGTACAGAAATCTGCAACTCATCTGATGGATAAAAATACGATGTACTTTTGTGCACTGAAAATTCCATTTGTATATAACGTAACATTTTCTCTCTACTTTGTTATTGACTGGAGAAACGGGGAGTTGAAAACAGTTTAAAAATGTCCAGGAGTACATAATACGTTTAAAGGACATATTTAAATGATTAAAACAAATTGAAAAGTTTGATGAAAAATGTTCGATGGATAAATTTGGTAACCCAAGGTTCAAACAGGCCGCTGTCATATAAGTATACCTATGTGTTTCTATGTTTTTCAATCCATCGATGAACGTAACACTGTATTCCGGTGTAATAATCCTTCGAAGTTAGGCTAAACTTAATTGGAAGTTGTACTCATTGGTTTTGAAAGCATTATTAACAGAAATAATAGTAAAACTGCTAACTGTTTATCTCTTTAGTCTGATATTGATTCTATGCCAGCTTTATCCGAGAAATGATTGCGCTCAGAAAATATTTTCACACCGACGAGATAGTATTCTTTCAATCGTCATTTCGTAATCTGATATGAACTGTGGTAACAAGGTCCCATGCACTTCCGTGCAAGGTCCTACTTTGATTTTGTCTGTCTGTCTGCCTGCCTGTCTTTTATTCATCAAAGCAACGGTACGAATGAAAGGTGTTATCGTAAACAAAGTACATGCCGAGGTTTGGGTAGCATAACAGACAGACGAAAATGAGCGCAGAAACTTGTACACAAGTGCATCAATTTAAGTTGCCACTTAACATTTGCCACACTTCGCAATGGTATGCAAAGAACGAGCAGACAGAAAATCACTGATATCGAAAAAGACAAAGGTGAGTGGAAGAAGAAGTCACTCGGAAAAAGTTTAGGTTAGTCAAAACAATAAAGCTTTAGAATGAATGCATCTGCACCTCTGTGACCGATTTCCAGCCATTTCATCAGTAGTCCTCAATTACCGATTCCTGTCGTCTCGGGCACCCCAACTACATAGTCGCCATCACCCCACGTGACTCAGACTAAATACGATAGTCTCCCATCTTAGTGTGGCTAGCCTGAACCTTCTTCCAACATAATCCACCTTACCCTAATATGAAACATAGAGGTAGGCGGTGGCTCGGTATATGCAGCACATGTCCCAGCCACCTGAGTAAATGAAGGTTCACAATCCCATCAATCGACTAACCTGTCTTACCTGATACTCTTCACCTGACACCTACATCACTAAGTACATTTCGATTCGATTCATTTAACCGTCAACTAAACTCTCACGTCTATTACTTCCTTCAATACTCAGAACAGAGACGGGGAATTTAATTACATCCATAAACACTGTACTCATTTCAAGTTCTTAGATGAATTCAACTTCAAAATTTCTTGTAGTTACCTTTATTAATTTACTGTGATTATTTCATGAAAGATTGATAGTCCTGCATAATTTCTCATGATCTTTGATGCGTTTCGCTTACACTGGTTTAACAGCTTCAGTGAAGTTGTGTAATTATCGTCTCATGTAACAGTCAACTGAACTTTGTAAATTATTCTCTTAGGCATCTGCGCGGTCAATCATTTCACAATATGATCTCAAAAATACCTAATAGTTAGATGTGGTCTCTGATAGCAAGACTAGTTCATAAACCAAGTTAATTATAAACTATACATTACAAAATGTTTTCTGTCTATCTTGCTTTGTATTATTTCCATTTCAGTAGATTTTAAATATTTTTAGGTGAAGTTAAATAAAGAAGTCCAGTATTACAGAACAACTACAAAACGCTGCTGTGAGATATTCTTATGATAGATGTCACTCAAATGATTTGCATATCACCTGCATTTTATGGTGCTATCTACAACATTTATGTTTTTAGAGTAATCACTTGACGCTATGCTTCATACAGATGAACAGCCAACTTATATGCCCATTTTTGATGTTTCATTCATGACATATGTCTAGAGTTCTTTTAATTTGTACAGAAAAACCCTGAGGTTTTTTTTACTTCATATTCAATTGATAGTTTGAATAGGTGTTCAGAAGCTACTCTTCTGCTAGATCAAGAAATTAAATGGAAATAGGGTTTCTGAATTCAAAATTTGAGGGAGCTAATTTTTACTTCTAAAGTGTCAGATTCAGTGTTACATTCTAGGATTGATCTGTATAGACTTGTGATTTGCACTTAGGAACTGAGGTGATCAAGTGACGTAAGTGCTCTGTCTATTTGTATCAAGTTAGTTGCAAGCAACATTTCAACATGAACACAAAAGTTTGGTTTACTGAATACCTATAAGTAGTTAATAGACTGGTAAAATAAAATGATGTAATAGAATCAGGTAAAAATTATATATGGGAATGAGAGTACAGTCTTAATACACTCAAATGGTGATTACTTCTACTAAGAGAAGTAAACAGTTATGGAAATGATTGATGAACTGGTCACTGATTCACCGCAGTTTACTATGAAGTACGTTTGAGCTATGGTTCACTGCTTTCATACTACTGGTCACGGGTTCGAACACCACTCCACCTACCGAGGTTTAGACAGCCAGGCAGTATCATAAGCCCTCACCACTGATGTGACTTGTTGCCTAGTAAACAAATATGTACAATATTGGTGACTGAATTGTGACTTCAATAAAGTAAATCTGTTGCTGACGCCCTGAAGTGGTACGTCTTAACAATCTGACTAGACAAACCAAAACCTTTCCTATAGTGAATAATACCTCCCTGTCCTCTTCGAACTGATGAGGATCGATGGTGAAAACTTCTTTGTGATGTGACTAAAAGTCGGTCATAGTGACACAGAAATACACTTTCTCTACCGTGTCAAAACTGCTGAGAATTCGAACTAACATCTATTTATTTGTCCTCTGTTCTGTCATATGCTTTTGTCTATGTCAGTATGATTCTTTTTCTCTTCACTTTCTCTTTGCGTGTTACTGATGCAAAGTGTAATAACTTGAACTTCTGATCTTCTAAACCAGTTTCTAGATTGATCTGTTTGACCATCCATCAGTAAACATTTAAACAATAGCAAAACGAAAGCCCTAAGCAGGCAGCAATTACCTACTAACAGACGTCCAATAGAAATTTGTCATTCGTGAAGAAGATGATTTGACATTGTTTGGCTTTACACCATGTGTCATAGTTCTATTAACCAACTGTATATTGTGCGGCTAGTAAACCACTTTTCAGCTTGCTCTAACCCATTAAATTCTCTACGATAGTGTAGCCACTGAACGACGGTGAGCATAAAGAAAAATCGACAACATAGATAGAACGAGTGAGTAATAATTTTAGGGTTACTGGGCAGAGTTATAGACAAATTTTTTTGGTCTGATACTTTTTGTAGACCAACTGTTTAAAGTGTAGGAAGCGTTCACTTAAGTAATGAATAATAAGGTTTTTTTTTAAAAAATGACAAGAAATGAGGACTGTACACTAGAATTGGTTTAAACTTACTACTGAGTACATGCTGTTGGTTGATGAAGCTTAATTACGAATGTTTTTTACTGTTACTAAATACGAAGAGCTGGGAAAGCTTTTAAAAAGCTAAACTTCTGAAATGCTTTGAAGATGTTAGTGAATTAAGTTCCTGGATAATTCTTGGCAGTCTTGCAAGGGTAGACGAAGTATGAACTTTAGTGCTTTCTATCTATATAACCACTTTTGATGTCAGATTGATATTATTTTGAATCCGTTTAGATGGTTTATACAGTACACTAGTGTCATTCACTCTACTAGACAGCTGTGATGTTAGTTGGATGAATGCACTTGGCAAGAAACCCTAGACCTGAGATTTGTGCTTCTTAGAACGCGTCAACAACCTGTGTCTGAAACCTTTACGGGATTGATGTCCCACCTGAGATTCAAACCTGCATCATCCAGTGCTGCCGTCAGAGGCATTACCACTGAGCTATTTGGGACCGGATGAGGTACATTGATTGGTCACTTCAGCGTAACTACCTTCATGTTGTTTAGTTTAGGTTTGGAAGTAGTTTTTATGAACTCCTTATAACTGTTTGCCTAAAAGATACCACGAGTAAAATCTAATGAATGTAATAGAGGTCAAACTATGACATAAATCAATTATTTACATTGTCTTCATAATTGGTAAGACTATCCTTCAAAATCTGTATTTCAGATCTGATAGTTGTCGACGTTCAGCAGTAGCTATGCCTAACTTCCACCATCTCTAAGTTTCAGAATAAAATATGCAGAATGAGTTCCCATAGGATCACCAACATTCCCTATCGTCGCTGATGCCTGTGGAAATATTTAGTCCCACTCCAAAAGTATGGTTTCACTATGCAGAGAACACTTTTACACTGTTGAAACCGAAGCAAATAGACAGTTTCTTTACATATAGAAATTCAGTAGGGAACGCAGATTAATTCACGTATGAATTAGAAAATAGTGAAGAGGACTTAGAGATGTTGGATTGCAGAATAGAACGAAAACAAAATGGGAGGTTAGACAACATTGTCTATCAAAAACTTTCATATTCGAATTGTTACTTAAATTTTAAATCATCTCGCCTTATGCCAGTTACAGTTGGCCTATTAATATGTCTAAGTAACAGGGCCAAGAA